TTTGGACCGTGAGAGGAAACCGGAGCCCCCAGTGGAAACTCATGCGAGTTCCACACAGAACCGAACCCAGGACCTTCTGGCTGCGAGGTAGCAGCACTAAGCACTGCACCACCATGCCGCCCATTGATGATCGCATAAGACGGCAATTCTTACTTGCTAGGTGAAATTAGCACAGAGTAAACCGTGATATACACCGTGTGAACAGTAAATAAGCGTCTCTTCAGTTTTACATCACTGTCGCTCTCCAAACCCAGCAGCGCCTTTACCGAGCCGACCCTCCTGCAGTAAAAAGCTGAAGCAAGCTGGAACCGCACTGGAACCGCACTGTAACCGCACTGTAATGAGTGTCTCTCATGGTACAGCTGAGGTGTGGGTCAGTTCTTGTATGGCAGTTGAAAAGTGCATGAAGAGTGCACCTACATCCCAAATGCTTTGTCAGAGCTTTTATCAAATCAGTACGCTGATGTCTAGCAGATGTCTTGGATCCTGCGATAAACAGGACGGTGTCCAAACTTAGTCTCGTTCTGAGCAGTCAGAGGTATGGCAGAACCATGGAACACGTCCTCCATGTGCCGATCATGGAGTATCAGGCGCCCTCTTCTGTGGGACTTTTCTGTCACCTTATTGGGTGAGCTCTGCTTAATTCACTGTGCTGGGCTGTTACTGCAGTAAGATCTTCCTAGTTGTTCCTGGTGCCAGCACCTCCCGTTCAGGTTGAGTCACTCCTTAGTCATGCCCCTCTGTGTGGTCACCGAGCCTTCAATGACTGACTGTTTCATCACTCGTTTGAATTCCTTCTGGCTTAAACACTTTACGTGAGAGCATTATGTTAAGTCAGACTTATCCATCCATCCAGCCAGCCAGACAGTATCAGACATTGACATAATACCATCCTTGGCTTGTGTCACAGAAGTGGATTAGAAATGAACTCTGTCTGGTAAACACATGCAGACCCACAGCTTTGGAAGCCCAAGAACGCCCTCACAGATGAAGGTGCATTTGTTCAAAGGGCAGCTGTGGTATTTGAAGGGATGTTCGTCAAAGAGCAACACACTTTGAAAGTCGTGGCACTGCACCGTTGGTGGACTTTATTGTGTGATGGGTCTGTAGGTGGTCAGGGCTGCCCAGTGGTTCCGTAGCCCTGTGCCCAGTGGGTGAGTCGGTCCGGGTTTTAATCTGTGATGCCAGCTGCCAGACGTCTCTGTCTTGGAAGTGGAGCTTAATGGATTTCGCCTGTCATCTCTGCTGAACATCAGAACTCCAGTGGCGTGGTGATGGCAGATTCTGGCTCCCTCATTACCACCACCAGTACAGATTCTGGGTTCTAGATCTTGCCTGTCTTAGGCTTAGCTAACTTCCCTTCCATGAGTTAAACAAAAAGCCTAAATGTAATTCACTTCCTGTCTGCACTAATGAAACCCCAAAGAAAACCGCTGTGAAATGGGATCTTGTTTACCAGATGCATTAAACCAGAGATATTCTATTTTTTTGCTCTTACACATTATACGCCTTATCTGCTTATGTGGCTGGATATCAGTGTACAATTTGTTGCTTAGCAACTAGTCTGGTTACTCAAGGCTACAAAGTACTATGGGCGTTTTCTACTTGCAAGTGCACTATGTCACTTGTGCCTAATTGACAAAGAGATATTAGGCTTGAGTTTCCTTCGCAAAAACAGCTCCATGCTTGACAGCAGGCTCATGTTTGACACTGGATTGTGTGCAGCTGCACCCATTGACCAGTGTAATTGAACGGACTAGTTTAAGTGGCTGCCACTTAATTTTTTGTGCCTCAGGTGGCCTGGCGCAGACTGTCGCTGCTTCTGATAAAGGAGAGAGGAATGAACACTGGAGCAACACTGTGATTAAGCCAAACCCTCAGTCCGTCATTGATTCAGGCTTGTTGCGTGAATGAGATTTATGGAGAGATGCGCACGCTGCAGTCACATGACTCTGCACTTTGATTCCATTGTTCAGAAGTGACTTTAAATGTCTGCCTTCTCAAAGCATTTCCCCTCCACAGCAAATACAGCTCATCAGCAATATCGGGTGCCCATGAAAATGCGAATTCGCACCATAAAGTCTAAGGTGCCAGCTGAGTTTTGATCGATGACCCACATTTCATCATTTCTTCATATGTATGTTCGTTGTGAAGCCTGTAATTAATTTATTTTTATTCAAGCCCTTTTGGTTGAACAAGCAGAGCTGTGTGACTGACATATTTGTGTTAAAGTTACCAGGTTGGGCCACATGTTGCCTTCTCTGACTGGACGTTCCTAGTCCATCATACGGTTCCCCTGTGTGGCTTTTCGGGGGGAGTCCGACTCAGGGCGGCCCGGGGCAGACCTTTCCCTCTCAGTCTTCTCACAGGTTACTGCACAGTCCCTCCTTCTGCATCTACAAACAGTGCTGTAGCCTTATGCATACTAATCAGAGAAAGCACTTTTGTATGCTAGGAATTGTAGCTTGTGTGTGTGTGTTTGGATTATGTATATATTACAATGTGGGGGACCAAATGTCCCCCACAATTGAATAAAAATCTGTTATTTTATCATTGTGAGGACCATTTTGCAGGTCCCCACAAAGATCTGTGACTGCAACCAAAAAACTAAAAATACCAAAAGTCTCGTATTTTGTCTGGTTATTTATGGTTACGGTGAAGGCTGGGTAGGGGTTAAGGTCGTCATGTTGGGATTAAAGTTATCCCCATAGAAATGAATGGAGAGTCCCCACAAAGATGTAACTACAAACCTGTGTGTGTGTGTGTCTGTCTGTCTGTCTGTGTCTGAGTGTGTTTATAGGTTTTGCTATTTTGAGAAAAGGTATAAACTCAGAAGACAAACATTGTCATCCCTTTTCTTCTGTAATGATGTTGTGTTAGAGAGGGAGGGTATGGCTGATTGCATTTAAGTGAGAGTGTAAAACTCCCCTCGGAGACATAAATGCTCCCCAGTGTCTGTTTGTACCAAAACAGGAGAGAAGAAATGGTGTCTTCTTGCCAAACCCCAAACCGACTCCACCAAATCAATGCCATCAATCCCGACGGTAGTAGACTGTCAATGAGGCTTCCTTTGCTGGGGAAGCATATCCTGCGTGAACCCCCACCCCATCTCTCTCTAGGCTGCAGGCCAAGCCACCAGCCTGCAAGGCTTCAGACAGGGATTGCAAAACTATATCTGCCATCTGTATGAGACTTCATTCCCGATCTTTTTATCTTGCCTCGAATCCGTGTCTGCTGCCGAGTTGCTGTGAACGACATTTAGGACAGCCATACCTGCACATTAATGTTTGATAAGGATGGGAGTGTTGGGGTTGGGGGGGCAGTGCAAATGTTGTTCAAACTTTAACCGCCTTCTAGTGCAGCGTATCCTAACCCAGTCCGCAAGGACTACCAGACAGTCCACATTTTTGCTCCTGGAAGGGAGCAAAAATGTGGACTGTCTGGTAGGAAGCTGGGAGGTAGCAAAAATGTGGACTGTCTGGTAGGAAGCTGGGAGGTAGCAAAAATGTGGACTGTCTGGTAGGAAGCTGGGA